TGTGTGACAATCATTTCGTAAAACTGAGGAATAACATGTATAACATCACTCTTAGATTTTAGCAAATAAACCCAACTCACTCTAGTACAGTCATCAATAAAAGATATAAAGTATTTATGGCCCGAAGCACAAGGAGTAGAAAAAGGACCCCACACATCTGTGTAAACACATGAAAAAGGCATAGGACTTTTATTGAAACTCACTTTAAAAGGAACACGATGGTTTTTAGCATAAATGCATTGTTCACACCCTAAACTAGAAGCAGAAATATTGCAAAATAACTTAGGAAATAAACGTTCTAAATAAGAGAAAGATGGATGTCCCAAACGACAATGCCATAAAATATCTTCTCTCTGTCAGACTCTCTCTCTACTTGAAAACCACGGCTAGGTTCAAATTTTAACTCCCTTACCCCCTTCTCCAAGTAGTAAAGACCTCCTCTCTCCTTACCAATGCCAATCGTCATCTTCGTAAGATTGTCTTGAAACACACAATGGGTAGAATGAAAAGTTACAGAACAATTAAGATTTTTGGTAATTTTGCTAATGGAAAGAAGGCTGTTAGAGAGATTAGGTGCAAGTAAAACTGAAGACATGGAGAATGTAGGAGAAAGTGAGACATTCCCAGCCCCTATAATTGGCATAGGAGTCTCGTTAGCAACCTGAACAGACTTAACGGGTGAAGGTATTAGAGAGTCAAGTATGGAAGAGTTACTAGTCATATGATCAGTGGCCCCTGAATCAATAACCTAAGTGTTAGAAGCAGTAGAATAAAGGCCAAACCAGAATTACCTCCTTGAGAAGACACTCGAGATACATGAGAAGCAGAAGATGGAGAAGTGTCGGTGATAGCAACCTGAGCAGATTTCTTGTTCTTCTTCTCAGCTTGCTTAAGCTTGGACCACTCCGGATAACCATATTTCTTCCAGCAAACATCAACCGTATGTCTCGTACTATTGCAGTGAGTGCAGAGACGAGAAGTAAAGTCAGTAGAAGGAGGAGCTGGTCGGGAACTCTTTTGGACAGCAAGAGCCGAGGCCTCTGAGTGATCCTTTATTACCATGGTGACCTGTCTCTGTGCTTCACGACGAACTAGAGAATATGTTTCTTCTAGGCTTGGTAAAGGAGAGGTAGCTAGAACTCGACTACTAACTTGATCTAAACTGTGATCCAAACCTGCAAGAAACATATAGACCCGATCCTCAGAAATACGCTTCCTCTGTTTCTCAATATCAGTTGCATACGTCATATCATTTGGTTTTCGATAATCAAGTTCCTTGAAGATTGAGTTCAGCTCATTGTAGTACTTTACAAGAGGCCGACCATCCTGACGCAATTGAAAGGACTTCTTCATCAGTTCATAAACCTGAGAAGAATCAGAGACATCAAGATAACTTCTCTTTACCACATCCCAAACCTCCTTGGCTGTTCCACACTGCACAAAATGGGACATCAGATTAACCGTCATGGAATTAATAAGCCAAGACTTGACTAGGGCATCTTCAGCCTCCCATTCATCATAGGTTGGGATCATCCTCTGTAGGTGCAACCTTTCTCCCTGTGATATACCCCTTTTTCTGTCTGCAAGCAATATGCATCTCTAAAATCTGAGACCGAACACGATAATTAGCACCATCCAATTTAATAGGAATGGGAGAAGAAGTTTCGTGAATAGTCATCATGGAGGAATTCTTGCTGTCAGATGAAATCTCGATTAGAGAGGAAAAATCAGTGGTTGTTTTGGCTGCCCTGGATCGTGGCTAAGAGGTATTGAAGACAAGCAGCAGCAGCACAAAGAAGATAGCTGACGGTTGTTGCAGGTCTTTAGAAGTAAGGTTAAAAAAGAAAAGAGAAGAAAAGAAAAGAAAAGAAAGCAGCGGAAATTCCTTTCTTTTTTGCTCTGATACCAAATTGATAAATGGCTGAAAAGATACTTCTCTTTCATATATCTCAAGGATATTTATACAGAATATACAGACCTATTCAAGGTAAGTCAACTATACAATTAAATTGACAGCTAATACATTAACAGCTAATAGATAACAGCTGTACACGCTAACTCAAAGGCACATGAAGTACAAAACCTCCATTTCCAACTGTCCACCTTCGACACTCATCTCCTATCCTACATGACAAGAATGCCCCCAGAAGACCCCAAAGCATCCAACGCCTCCCACTATACGAACTTCCCTCCCCAAAGACTCCTTGCCACCCTATCCGTCATCAAAGCAACCTTCGATTCCTGCAAACATACCACATGTGCCCCCCACTTCCTCATCGCCAATTTTACCACCTTCTTATCTGGATCATTGAGACCACAGACATTCCAAGAAATAATTAGGAGCTTCATGAGGAAATGATGTCATTCCCCTGCCCCCTACCCTCACTTCCCCTCTCCCTCACCAACCCTTCCTTCCCCTCATAGTTGACATAAGAGATGAGATTTCTCACCTCCCTCTCCCCTCTCCACAAGGAGGGATTCTTCTTCCTCTTACCCCCTCAACTCCCCATCTCTCCCCTCTGCCGTTCAAGGAGAATCAGTAAAGCCTGCTCTCTGTTTCCCTCAAAAGAGACACCCAACAATTCTCTCTCACCGATATTCTCCTTCACCCACCGCTTACCTAAATCAACAATTCCCTGCCCCATAGTACTCGTCCCCATCCCTTCTGGGCGCACCACAGCCAGGGGATCAATCGCACCCAACCCGCTCCCTCCCAAACCATTAAGTCAAGAGACCCATCCCTCTGGTCCCACAGCTCACTTCCTGAAGCAAACAGAAAAAGAAACACATCTTCTTACAACAGTAAGAAAGATCAGAAATACTCCAATCACCGTCGGAGCCTAGATTTTTATAGGGAAATCTGGGGGAAAGCCTTAGAGAAGTATAAACTCTGATAATAACTCAATTATATTGATAAAGACTTGATTACAACTGATAAGAGGGTTATCCCTTTTATAAGACAAGAATTAACGACACTTACTTTTCCTAGACTGACTTTCAAGCTACCCACAAAGCATTAATAATGACTTCTACTATTCCCATAACAATTTCAGATTTCCATATCATAATTAGTTACTAAATAGACTTTGACTAGATACTTTCCAAGGCACCATTGACTGCCATAATCCTAACTAAAGTACCCTTACTGATTTGCATCAGTCCCTCCCCCTTGAAGAAAACTCACCCTCGAGTTTGATGCAATTTTCCACGATCAAATAGGAACCCAAGTAAAGCCTTCCATCCTTTCTTTCTTCTTTTCCTTACTTGAACAAAGCACAATATTCTTCTTTCTCCAGCAAAGAGCATCTTTTCATGAACTCTCTGAGCACTTCCTTTAAATTCAGATTATTTCCAAAGTTTGCTTGAACAAATATCACGAAACAAAACTTGAATTAATTTGATTTTTGAATTGGAACAACTCTTAGTTGTATGTCGCAGCAAGAATCCATCCCAAATAGAGTCATGAATATGGAACTGATTGTTGACTTTAAGATATAATCAAATCAAGAGTAAAGTATAAGAAGAAGAAGAAAAAGAGAAGAAAGAGGATGAGAGAAAAAGAGAGAGAGATGGGGAAAGAGAGAAAGAATGAAGGGATACTTTCATCCTTCCATCACATTCTATTTATACTAATAAAGTTTTAGAAATTACACATAAGCCCCAATATTATATGAGTTATTGAAGATTTAATGGAGGAATCAGTGGAGAAAAATCTTTCAGTAATTGGTGTTGTTTCCTATAATTGAAGATTTGGTGTTATTAGAGGAATCAGTGGAGAAAAATCCTCCTTGTTTCCTATTTTCTATTTGTTTTCATTCTCATAATTTATTCTCCTAAATAAAGGAGCCTCCACCATTGTATTGTGTATGAATTGAGAGAGTATTATAAAAGTGATGTAGTCCTTTGGACTCTTTGTGCCGTGGATGTAGGCGCTAGTGGTTGAACCACGTAATATCTGTGCATACTACTTGTTTTATTTATCTCTTCACTTCTGTTTTATGCTTTACAACATAGTATCAGAGTCTAATTTCTTTCTTATCATAGGTTCAGACCCCTATTTTGGGGTATTCCCTTAGCATCTGAAATGTTGCTAAGGGTTTCTCGGTGCTATTTGTGACTTGTTTGGGCTACCGGTTTGTTTGGTAATAATGTTCTTTGCCTATGCCGTGTCTCCGACAGTTTTTATTGACTTGTTTGGGCTCTCGGTGTGTTCGGTAGCATTGCTTTTGTTTTGGCCGTGTCTCCGGCAGTTTTTATCGACTTGTTTGGGTTGCTGGTGTGTTCGGTAGCATTGTTCTTCGTCTTCTCTCTTCTCTCTTCATCATTCACACTTGTTACTCGTCATCTCAAATGTTGCTAAGGGTTTCTCGGTGCTATTTGTGACTTGTTTGGGCTACCGGTTTGTTCGGCAGTAATATTCTTCGCCTTTGCCGTGTCTCCGACAGTTTTTATTGACTTGTCTGGGCTCCCGGTGTGTTCGGTATCATTGCTTTTGTCTTTGCCATGTCTCCAACGGTTTTTATCGACTTGTTTGGGTTGCCGGTGCATTCGGTAGCATTGTTCTTCGTCTTCTCTCTTCTCTCTTTATCATTCACACTTGTTACTCGTCATCTCAATGGCAAGTTGGGCATTCATGCTCCAACTTGAGGGGAAGTATTGAAGATTTAATGGAGGAATCTATGGAGGAAAATCTTTCAGTAATTGATGTTGTTTCCTATTATTGAAGATTTGGTGTTACTAGAGGAATCAGTGGAGAAAAATCCTCCTTGTTTCCTATTTTCTAATTCTTTTCATTCTCATAATTTCTTCTCCTATATAAAGGAGCCTCCACCATTGTATTGTGTATGAATTGAGAGAGTATTATAACTCCACATCTCTTCCTACCATTCATGTGGCTGACCCAAAGTAAATGGAGAAAAAGGCTTTGTTTCTTGTTATTGTTGTTATTATCCCGCACCTTTTATCATATTGGAAATCTAATTTCTGTGGTCTGTTTGCAGAATATTGATGACATAAGGAATTGTCGAAGAACAGAAGTTCCTATATTTGATCTGGAGACTGGAGCTCGGAGTGGCTTAAAAAATCTTGAAGTTTCTGAAGATTGTGGAGTGGTACATTATGACAACTTCAATAGCTTGCTCCTTAGTCCTTACTGCTCATTGTAAATGTAAAGTACTAAAAATAGTGTGAAAAAATAGCAGAGAGCTTACTGGTGGTGCCCTGGAGGCAATTAATTACTTAAGCTTGAAGTCACTTGAAGCATCTTCTTCTGATATTGATTTTCTTTCTAATGGATCTCATAATTAAAATCACTATATTTAGAACGAAGTTCAGTCTATTGCTTTGTGATCTTGAAAGGAAATTAGCTTGATGAAGCAGTGGAGCTAGAAGATTTTTTTTCTTTTTTTGTTTTTTTTAAATTATATAATTTTATGATCAATAGATTCTATAATATCTGGTTATGTCAAACTATGTCACCGTAGAGTTTTTTATGAACTAGTCATGCTTTACCTGTTTGACTCCTCAATATTTCATACCTGAAAATATTACTGTTTAATCTGTCTAGGTCATTTTCGAAGGGGTTTATGCTTTGCATCCTGATATCAGAAAATCACTTGATTTGTGGATTGCAGTTGTAAGGATGACTTTTCCCATTCAATTGCTGAGGCTTTATATTCCATTTTTGCTGATTAACTTTATTTGTTAGGTAGGTATCAGTTGATGAGGATTTATACTAGGTAAGAACTAACTGCTTGTTTGGAAACAGGTTGGAGGTGTTCATTCACATCTGATTTCTCGAGTTCAAAGGGACAAAAGCAGAGTTGGGTGCTTTATGTCCCAAAATGAAATTATGATGACAGTTTTTCCAATGTTCCAGCAGCACATTGAACCACATCTTGTTCATGCACATGTTAGTAGATTCAGAACCATTTGAGAATTTCTATATTTGTTTCATGTTTGAGGCATACAAGTTATTCTGATAATAGCCAGGGGATGACTATTTTGTAGAATTTTAGAATTCAATTTAAATCTATATCAATTTAAACAATTTGATAAATGATACAATACTTCCAAGATTTTGCTATGACGTTGATAATATATATATATATATATATATATATATATATATATATTTGAATTTGACCAGGATAAAATTGGTCATGAGCACAATATAAAAAATTGAGAATTACTTATTACTACAGATCTGGTGCATAATATCTTGGATATAACATACTGTTCTTTTAGTTAGTTTTTAGAATCATTCTTCAGAATGACACTTTTGCCCTATCACTTTCATACATGAGTCTGGTAAAAAAAGAAAAAAGAGAAGAAATAATGATAGCACATTCATGTGGCAGAAATGTGAATGATAAGATGGATTTTAGGAGTGACTAGAAGAGATAATCAAAGTGTAAGAGACATTAGGATAAAGATGGATAAATTAGACTTAGCAACCATTAGGTCCGACTCTGAGAAAAGGAATGTTGGTTTATATAGAAGGTCAGATAAAGATGTCAACCAAAACTAACATGGAATGAAGTAATAAGAAATGTTCTGAAAAAGTGAAACCTAATAAACGAAATGGTGTATGAATAGATAAGAGTGAAAAAAAGTGAATCTATGTAGTCGACCATTCATACGGGATAAATGACAACTTTCATACATGAGTATTGATTGTGGTGTCTATGAGGTAATTTTGATGTTGTGTTGCTTTTGAACTTTATTCCAGCTCAAAATTCGAAATGATTTTGATCCTGTGCTATCCCCCGAAAGTTCTTTGTTTGTGTTGAAAAGCAACAAGCAAGTAAGTCCTTTTTGTAATGCTTCTGTCCAAAATTACTTAAGGGTCTTTTAATTTGACATCATTATATATGTTTTTATCAATATCAGGTGGCATATCAAGATATTCTGAAAATCCTTGACCCTACAAAGATCTGCAGTTCTGTTCAGAATTTCATTGATATATATTTTAGGCTTCCTGGAATTCCTGCTAATGGCCACTTAGCAGAGAGTGATTGCATACGTGTCAGAATATGTGAGGGAAGATTTGCATTGCTGATCAGGGAGGTTTGTAATTTAATTTGATTAGAAACTGGTTTCTTTCTCATCTTTTTAGTGCCCTTCTTTTCCACCTTTAAATCAAAGTGAATGTTGATCCTTATTGCCTTGCAATTTCTTTTGTTAGCCTATAAGAGAGGGGAATTTTATCATACAACCAAAAGTGGATTTTGATATCAGCATCAGTACAGTTGCTGGCCTTCTTAACCTTGGGTAGGCCACATATTTGAACTCTAAAGCCTGATGTTAATTAGTTTTTCTTTCGGAATCATGTATCTAAGTTCTCTTCATAAACTGTGTTTCATAATGTTCAAATTAGGGTTTCATAAGAAGAAGAATGATATTTGGCAATTTTTGTGAGAGTTTTTATCTTTTCTTCTCTCACTTGAATATATATATATATATAATGGAGTTACATTGGAAAGACTAATATGCCCTTGGAAGAAATACAAATTACATATATAGATTCTAATACTCTCCTTCAAGTGGGAGAATATATATCCTATAATCCCAGCTTGGAGCACATATTCATCAAGTGATTATGACTCAGAGCCTTGGTAAACATATTAGCAAGTTGATCTTCAGATTTCACAAACGGTGTAAAGATGTTTCCACTCAATATCTTATCTCGAATAAAGTGACAGTTAACTTCAATATGTTTGATCCTCTCATGAAAGAGGCAGTGCGGAGAGCGGCTTGGTTATCACAAAACAATTGAATAGGGTTTTTGACTGTCAAACCAAGTTTCTTAAGGAAACGTTGTAGCCATATTAACTCACTAGAGGTGTATGCCATCATCGTGTACTTAGCTTCAACACTGGATTGAGCTACCACTATTTGTTGCTTACTCCTTCGTGTTACCAGATTACCACCTAAGAAGGTACTGTATCATGTAGTGGATCTTTTATCTGAGGGAGAACCAGCCCAATCAACATCTGTAAAACCTTCCGTCTCAAGGTGCCCAATAGGTCTATACAAAAACCCGACCTGAGGCTCGGAGCTTGCTTGAGAAATCGAATAATCTGAAGAACAACATTCCAATGTGGCACCTTAAGAGTTCCCATGAACTGACTCGCTATACTAATTGCTTATGAGTTATCATGATGAGTAGTTGTGAGATAAACTAGTTTCCCAATTAGTTGACGGCATCTGCCAGGATCGTCAAATAAATCTATCAACAATCAAGAGTTTAGTGTTTGGATCCATAGAAATTGCAACTGGACGACCAGTTAACAGACGTGTTTCCTCTAGCAAGTCCAACACATACTTCCTCTAAGACAACTGTGATGTTGTGGCCCGAATTTGGTGTCGGGTTGCGTTGCGACCCGTTGAGTGAGCTTTGTGTGGGCCTCTCTTGTAGCCCGATATATAAGGGCATTTAAGGTTTGGAGTGGGAGATATAGAGACACTGAAAATCGCAGAGAAAGTGGGGCTGAAACGTGTAATCTCCTATTTTTCGCATAGTGAAAACTTTCGCCGGATCTCCACTTTGGATGTAGGCTTTGCTGAACCACGGTAAATCTTTGTGTTATTTGTGTGTGATGTGATTTCTTTTCTATCGTGTTTCTTGATTTGTTCTTGGGTTCGGTACATTTGTCATAACAACTTATACCTTTGCTTAAATCGAGCAACTTTAATACCTAAAAACTATTTGAGTTTACCCAAGTCTTTAGACTAAAATCATTGTTGCAGAAACAATTTCAACTTAGTAATGTCTACAAAGTCATCACTGGTGATAATGATGTCATCTACATATATTACAAGAAAATTTTAACCTGTTTTAGTATGTTGATGAAATACTGAATGATCTGTTTGGCTTCTGTGAATACAAAATTCTAATGCTGCCTCAGAAATATTTTCAAACCAGGCTCTTGGAATACGGGGCTTTCTTTATACGACAGAGAGTGTGTTTACACTATCCCTGAACAAACCCAGGGTGGTTTCTCCATATAAACTTTGCAAAGTAACCATGTAAGAAGGCATTTTTAACATTTAACTGGAATAAAAGCCAATTAAGATTAGCAGCAATTGAAATTAAAACATGAACAGAAAAGATCTTGGCATTGGGCAACATGAGAGAAGGTCTCATAATAATCAACATCATGTTTGATATGTCTGTGTCTGACCTTTAGCAACAAGGTGTGCTTTTAAATGCTCGATGGAAGCATCAGGGAGGTATTTCACTGTATATAGCCACTTATAACCAATAGGTTTGGTACCAGGAGGCAGTGGAACAAGATCCCATGTTCCATTATGATGTAAAACACCCATTTTATCTTCCATTGCTTTCCTCCAGCCCGGATCAGAGAGGGCATCCTGCATGTGCTTAGGAACAAGAGTGGTTAACAACTTGGAGGAGAAACATGAGAAAGATGGTGATAAAGATTTATAATGGATGGTTAGTGACAAAGGACCGAGTACCTTTACAAAGGGCAATAGGCAAAGAGTTGGATGCATCAGATGGTGTCGCAACCAAAGACTTTGGAGAGCATCGTCCACCTCACTAATCCCATGAGCGGCACCACTTCACATGCATTTTTTAGTAGGATTTTCCAAATCAAAACATGAAATCTTAGAAAACCCTAATGTACGAATGCATGACCTTAATTTTTGGTGAGTGCCTTGGAGTGTCAATTACCTTTATACCCTTGGTGTAGAAGATTACACTTTTACCCTTGAATGTAGCTTAAATTCCATATTTGTCCACGTGCAAGAGATAACTACCATGACACTAACTTTTAAATTTCCTAACCAATCTAGAAATAAAAACAAAAGTACATACTCTAGTTTTGTTCAACGAAATATGCCAACATAAGTCCTATTGACTAGCTATGATTCAATCCTGGGAGATGATGAGATTCCATTTATTGGTACTCTCGGTAAAAAATAATAAAAATTGATGTGTATTCTTTGACCAAAATGTTACTTTGCTTCAATGAATTGAATTTCATATATTTTCATTACATAATGAGTTGTTAAAATTGGTTGCATAGCTTTGCTTTCATGCGGCTCTTACATGGTAAGTTTTTGCTTGTCATATCCAATACACACCTCTTCAACTCTCAGTCATTGTTTAAATGCAGTGATTTTTAACTTAGGGTTTTCAAGTTACACTTTCCTCCATTGAGCCATTGTTTCCACTCTGAATTATTCTCTAAATTTGATTTTTATCTTTATAGTTTTCGGCATCCATTTTTCCGGAGAAATCAACTTTGATGTTTATTTGTTCACCAATTAAATTGAGTGTTTGTGCCAATATGTCCTCCAATCTACCAGGTCAGGTTCCTCTCTCGGTGCTTGTCGTTGGATGGAGTTGAAGTCTTTCTCAACATTGATTTGTTCTTCATTCTTAAATCTTCTGGTATACCCAAGAGGTGGTGATTGCCTCTGATACCTTCATTTAGTCGTCTTATGTGTCCATTGCTGGACAGCTTGACTAGTCCAACACAAATCCTCAACCATGCATCTTAACTCCACAGCCCAGTGGCTTGGCTTGCTGTACTCTGCCTCCACATCCTTTCTCATGGGTAGACCTCTTAATCAATCGAAATTTGCTTTCATAACTGATTTGGTGAAGAGAATAACGAAAACTAACAGATAATGGAGAATGTCATAGTTCAAGGGGTATTGAAAAATATAATTTCTAGGGTTCCTAAGAATGAAGGAAGCTTTTATTTACTGATTTTCGAAAAATAGGATGCCAAGCTTGCTCAAATTCTATTTAAGTTGTATTTATAGTGAGATTAGCAACTATTGTTGCCAGGCTTTCATACCTGATTTAGTGAAGAGAATAATGAAAACTAACAGATAATGGAGAATGTCATAGTTCAAGGGGTACTGAAAAATATAATTTCTAGGGTTCCTAAGATTGAAGGAAGGTTTTATTTACTGATTTTCAAAAAATAGGTTGCCTAGCTTGGTCACAATCTATTTAAGTTGTTTTTATAGTGAGATTAGCAACTATTGTTGCTTTAATAATGAAAAGATGGATAACACCACTTGAGCCACTAAAATGACTGACACGGGACTTTAAATAAAAAACCTAATGACACTGGTAATAGCGTGCCGATCATAAAATTACTTGCAGATGTGATCTATTTACCTTGTGGATCTGCTTGGCTTAGCTAGGCTGCTTTAATTTTCCTGCATCATATGGCAAATCCGACACTGGGTAATGGTGTTCTGTATAGAGAGTTGGTGGAAGTGGTGGCAGTGATGGGCTTGGTTGATGGAGGTGGTGGTGGTGGTGGTGGTGTGTTGGTTGCATAGAGGAAATGGATGAAGTAGCAGTGGTAATGGGCTCGATTATTGGAGATATGGTGGGAATTTTTATAGAGAGTGAAGGTGGAAGCAACATTAATGATGCTTGGTGAAGGTGGAATAATATTTGGAAATATGGTTAAATTGGTGTTTTCTTGGCCTCTCTGAAGGTCTAAGGCGCCTTTTGGCCCTTTTTGTTTTCTTTGGGCTTCGCTTCCCTTTTGAGCGCTTTTAATAAATTCTTACTTATCAAAAAAAAAAAAAATTGTTCTTTATTGCTTCATCCCATGTAAGTTTCGGTCAGCCTCTTTGTTGCTTACCTTCTATGCAAACAATTCTTCCTCTTCTAACGGGTGCATCATTGGGTCTATGTTGGTATGGTCATTCCACCTAAGTCTACTTTCTCTAATTTTATCATTTAATAGTGCTATACCTAGTGTTCCCCTCACACTTTCATTATTACTTTTATTATTTCTGTTAATGTTTCCATCCATTCCGTCAATGAAATAATTCCTTATGACGATCAGTTAATGAGTGAGCAACTGAAACCGTGGGAGCTCAATTCAAACCCGACTATTACTTGTGTGGGATAAAAGTGTAAATTACTCTTAATAAACAAGATTGTTGCATCTGACTGTTTCTGATAACGTGGGAGAGCAAGAGGTAAGATGAAGCTGTATTCAAGCTATTGCATGTAAATTATCAAACTGAAAACACAAGCTTCAATTTGAACCCAACTTTACTCTGCATCTGAATGTTGTTCCTTAAAAATAAATCTAGCAACGTGACATGGCAAGAGGTGAGGTGCTAGATGAAGATAAATTCAAGCTATCAAACATGAAGTATGAACTTACACAAGCTATAACTTATTTCTATCAAATAGTTTAGGTTTTTTGTTAATAATTAGGAAGGAAAAGTATAGCTTTCATGAATCGAAGTGTATGTGATAAGTTGGCATTTTGTTTGGAAAATCTTCTTGCAAGACAATTGTGCATTCCATTTTTTTTAAGACTGGAAACCAGCTTGTAAACTTCTTTTAACTTGTAGATGAATATGCTCCCAGTGATGCACAGGCAAGTTTGCATTTGTGGATTAACTGTGTTTGTGGCAATATGTATTATTTTCATTGAGGGATATGTCATTCAAGTTCTCTTTGGTTGGCAAGTGTGTTTTATATAAATCAATTAAGTTCAAAAGTGGATTTTCCTCCTCTTCTCTATATTTCTCTTATTTCTTCCCATTGAACCTCAAATTGCAATAACCCATTACTGTTGGTTTTTGGCTCCATAATTATTTGATTTAAATGCGGTCATGGATGATGGATCTTCATTCACTTATTTATTTTCTATGCTGATAACCTGATAATGTGGTATTCTTTCCAGTTGAAATGTTCCCTTTGATTCTTTTGTCATGTCAGGTATCACGCTGTAGCTTACATTGAAGCATCTGCATACATTTACCAAGACGGAAAGGTAATATTTAGTATTTACGTTGACAAGGCATATCTTCTAGTTGGAGAAAGTATACTTTTTCCAAGCAAACTCAGTTCTGGATGAGATGGCATTCACAATTCCTTTTTTTTTTTTCTTAAATTTTCCTAAATGTTATAAATAGTCGCCCTAATAAATTCCTTTAATTCTGAAGCATCTTTTGACACATTGAATTTTCTGGATAACTATAAATTTTGATATGGTGATCTGTATAAGCCATTTGGATAGCATATATGTATCATTATTTTTATGTGTGAAAGTTCTTAAAAAAAAATTCATGAGCTTGCGTGGGTGCTTCCCTCTTATGCATGCTCACAAGTTCCTACAAACTTTCTCAGATGATGTTCTGTTTGCAATTTGATGTTATCATAACTTCAATTCGTGAGATTAAAGACAATATAATGCTTGGATCATTAGACACAGCATTTTCAGTGTCAGCAATGACTGCTAACTAACTAGAATGGTTTCTGATCTTCCCATTAGTATAGGCCAATGACAAAGTGGATGCCAATTAGTATAGTTTCTGATCTTCATTTATTGCTGAGTGGGAGGACTGCGCCTACTGGAAACTAGATAAATCCATCTGTGCATACCAGCTTCCATGTAGTATAGCTTTAGTCCATTCTACAAAATACACTTTCGCATAAGTTGTGTTTCAAAGTCTGGTCCTATTTTATTAGTTTTATTATGTTTTTGTTATCAATTTTTTTGATTAGTGATTGAGATATAGTTGTTGGACAATACCTACGCAGTATGTATATTGTTCTATTACGTATGTCCTAGTTAGCCTTCAACATGGCCGACTTTCTTACAACCATTTTTATAATGTACGTTCAAATAATGCATATTAATGCATTGTAAACTTTTTGACTGTCTTTACAAAACTTTATTCATGCATGTTGTTGAAAGATATAAAAGTTGAAGAGAGAAATTAAACATGAAGAACACACCACACAAAGCCCAAAGGGGCTACATCATTTTTTTTATATTCTCTCTTAATATTGTTTGCTATCAGCACCTCTATTTATAGGTGAAAGAATACAAGTGATAAATATATAAAATACATTGATGGAGCTAAAATCAATACTATAAATCACTCCAATCAATATTCTATCATAGGCTAAAATCACCCCTATGATATTCTCCAACACATGTCTTGTTACCAACTTGTAGTAATTTTCTTTTAATCTATAATAGCGGTAATCTCAAGCCTTTCAAGGATTTTGTTACTCAACTCAACAAAGCCTTTTTCCAACTACTTGGGGTCGATTTTTTAATAATGTTTTTCTATTTTGCTCTTTTTAAGGCTATAGTCTCGGTCAAACTACATGTTATCATGTCATTCCTTACTAACTCTATACATGTTAGTTTTCATCTTCCAACTTCCTCTAAGACCATGTCACACTCTTCCTGGTGCACTTAGTGGTTTTATTTGCACATGCCTAAACCAAGTTGATCGATTATCTTGGTTTATCTTCAACAGGTGCTATTTCAACCACCTCACAAGTGTCTTTCGAATTTCATCCCTTGTTTTGCTACATATCCATCTCAACATTCTTACTTTCGTGATGCTCAGCTTTTATATCTTCATCATCCTTGCCTCAATCCCATTTGAATTGCATTGGCCACATGAATTCTTTTCTCTCTTTTTTTCCCCCTTTCTTTTCTATTACACATCATCTATCATTTTATATTCATCCCATGTTAATTTTGGTTGTCCTATCTGTTTCTTACCTTTTATGCAAACTATTCTTCTTATCGATGCATCTATAGGTCTTATTTGAATATGTCCATGCCACCTAAGTCTAATTTTTCTTATTTTATCACTATTGGGTGCCACACTTAATTTTTCCTCACACTTTCATTAGTAACCTAATCTCTTCTAGTCTCTCCAACCATCTATCTAAATATCCTCATTTTTGCCATATGAATGCATTGTTCTTGTTTCTTTTTTAAAGACCATCATTCTATTTCATATAAAATTGGTGGCCTAATAGTTGTTTTATAGAATTCTCCTTTTAATTTACTCGTTATTCTTTTATCATATAAAATGCCACTTGTCTGTCTTCCATTTTGTCCAAGTTTATCCAATTCTACTAGTTATATCACTATCTATCTCTCCATTCTTCTGTATTATTGATCCTAAATATCAAAATTGATTATTTTGATAATTCTTTGGTTTTGAAGCGTGATTATTATTTTATCAGTACCGACTCTATCAAAATTACATTCCATATATTCTGTTTTAGTCATACTAATTTTCAATCTTTTGATTCTACTGCATTCTCCACATTTCTAATTTTACTATTAAGTTTTCGTTAGAGGTATTCGATAGCACTATGTCATCGGCAAATGAACATGCACCATGGCATGTCTCCTTAGAAGTCTTTTGTTATTTTATCTAAAATTATTGTAAATAGAGATGGGTTTAGTATTGATCCTTGGTAGCATCCTATGTTTATAGAGAACTCACTTGTCTCACCACATATAGAGCAAACTCTAGTTTCTGTGTTCATATACATATCCTGAAGGATCTGTATCATTTTTAGAGGAATTTGTTTTCTTTGTAAAAGACACCAAATTATTTCTCTTTCAAACTGATCATATGCTTTTCCTAAGTCACTGAAAACCATATGTATATCTTTTTCCTTCCTCCTACCCTCTTCAACTAACTCATTTTCTATACTTTTTACTATATTATTTTAATGTATATTGATTTAATGGCAAGAAGGTGTTAGAGTTGCGCTTCTGCTTTCTTTAATTCTGCTGATTAAATAGATAGTTGTAGCTATTAGCTGCGCTTTCATATCCAGCAAATGGCATGCCTTTTGTTGCTTCATTACTCAAATACTGTGAGAGACACGAATTGTCCTAAAGAGAACAATATTTTAGTACATCTCAGACTGTCTATAATTTCCTATAGCATTTGCAACATTGTGAAAAAAAATTGGGTAATAATTTGTTGTATCTATGTTATTGATTTAGTTCTTGTTTAGATAGTCCTTGGTGTCATATCTTTTTCCTTTCTCTATGTGTTTGTGTAACTTTTTTCATAGGTGATTGGATTTGAACCTTGGTGTTTGCTCCTTTGTAAATCACTAGGCTGATTCTGTTCCACTTAATATGCAATTATGCATGTGGACCTCGTGTTTTCTTACTATGGAGTTGCAATAAATTATTACATATGAAACAAATTGTTAGAAATAATAGGCGAAAATTCAAATCCATGTCATGAAAGTTCCGTCCAATAATTGCCAGCATTTTGTCCATTAAGCTTATCAGTTGGGAAACTTTAGACCATAAACAGAGGCTTCTGGTAATGCTTTCTTCACTTGTTGAAATTTCAGTTTAGATGCTTTTGGCCATGGAGGTTCTATTATTTTCTTCAACACAAAAATATGTCTCCCATAGATTATGCTATGCTGGAAGCTGAAGCTGTTCCATATAGTTTTCTAACTTAAAATTTAATTTCGTAGTGATTATTAATTTCTACAATAAATGCTTACTTTAGATTTTTTATTTCGTTTTTTATGTTGTATAGTTGTGTGGTATAACTAAGTTTAGATCTTATCCGAAGTTTCTGAAATTGGTAAATGATATTGATGCTTGATTATATCCATTCCATTTTGGTTAGTGATCTATATCTTACATGAATTTATATCTGGTTATTTAGTTTTCCTTGTAAGCAACTACGGTTCTAAAATAGCCACGCCTCAATTTTTTGACACAAAATGGCTTTTAAATTGGACGATTGTTATCCTTTTCAGATCCTTATTGAGGTTGATAATCTACAAGATGCTCCAAGTCCTTACATACAAATCAAAGGGATCGATAAGGAAGCCGTGGCAGCTGCTGGTTCAGCTCTTAATTTGGATGGTTCATATACAACGAAGGTTTATCCTCTTAACTTATGTATATTTCACTTGTTGTGTGCTTAAATTGTTTACAACTCGTGAGAATTCACTGTTGTCCTTAGAGTTACCTTCAAATAGTTCTGGAGAGATTACCCGCACTGGAAAGGAGTTCCAGTGGTATTAACACTCAGCAAGCAGCAAGGTTGCAGGAACTTGTGGAATTTATACAATCTCAGGTACTTTTTATTGTGTAAATTGGTTATCCTACATTTGTTCTATGAAAATTGGTGACTTGGTAAATGCAAAATTATTTGTTGAAATTTAATATATATATATATATATATATATATATATATAGAGAGAGAGAGAGAGAGAGAGAGAGAGAGAAATAAGAAATACGTTTTGGTGTGTTCTCTCAATTACAGAGAACCCGAACAATTATGTATGTATGTATAAGGGTAAAGTGCAAGAAACCCCCTTCAACTATGTCCCTTTTAGCAAAAAACAACCCCTTGGACTCCTAAAGTGGCAGAAAACCCCCATGAACTTAGCACTTTGGTTGCAATTTGCCCAATCCGGTGATCAGCTGATGGATTGACAACCCAAATTTAATTAAATGACCATACAACCCTTATGAAAGATAAAAGACCATAATGCCCTTCTATTAAATGACAAATACCCTTATGTCTATATGTATACAGTATATATATATATATATATATATATATATATATATATATATCCATGTTCATCTTCTTCGTCAATCATTGTTAACTTCCTGTTAGGACTAAACCCCTCCATGTTCATCGTCTTCATCAAGCGTTGTTAGTTGAACCCCTCTCCCTCCCTCTGTGTGTGTGTGTATATATAGCTCGTGTCCACATGCATTTCCACATTGTCCATATTCATGGTAACTGGAAGAAGAGAAATTTGATTCCATACTGACATTAACGGAACCGATTCTCAACCCCAACCACAAGCAAATCCAATTGCAAAATTCCCAACCCCAATTACAAGCAAACCAAATCGCAACATTCTCAACCCCTTGGCAAACCGTATCACAAGAATTGATTTGCAAAATCCAATCGCAAGCAAACCTAATCGCAAAACCCCTTGAATATATTGTCACCGATCACCAAGCAAACATCACAAAATTCTCCACCCATGCCCAAACCAATATTACAAAACTTCAATTGAAACCACTGCCACGACAACAACCACGTCTGTAGTTGGGTTTACGGGTTGCCCCAAGCAAGAAACTGGGAGACAAAATCAAGATTGAAGAGATAAGAGAAAGTGTCCTAGAATTTTCTGCCACCATTGCCGTGGGTTGCGTTGTCAAAACACCATCACAGCATTCTGATCACCATCACCAATTTCTTCATCGTCGTTGGTTGAGCCTTTCACCGTTTCGCCACCGGACTGATTTTTACTGCCACTATTAGAATCTGTCACTAGATTGGAGAGAGACGAAGAAATTTTTGAGGTGGTGGCCCATCAGATGGTTGTGATAAAGGCTTAGATGGCGGTGGAGTCTGTGTAGCAGAAAGCGGGACGGTGGGGTTGGGGCTGTCCATGGTGGACATTGGGGAGAAGTATATATGTGTGTGTGATGAGGTTGCTGAGGTGTCCAATTTTGAGTGGACTGGAAAAACCTTCTCTGTCCTTAAATTGAACAAAATTCATAGTTGAAGGGGGTTATTTGTAGTTCCGACCGTGGGGTAATTGCACTTGGCTAATAGTTGAAGGGGGTTTCTTGCACTTTACCCTATATATAATTACAAGTATTGTTTATTTACAAAATTATTTGTTGCAAAATTCTCTGTTAACTTCAGAACTATAATTACAAGTATTGCTTATCTGGTAAATGCAAAATTATTTGTTGAAAGATATATATTATATAGAGAGAGAGAGGAAGAAATACTTTTTGGTGTTTTCTCTCAATTATAGAGAACCCCAACAGTTATGTGTGCATATATAATTACAAGTATTGCTTATTTACAATAAGGCCACAACTCTACTACTAATTACATTAATACCCAACACTCCCCTCAAACTGGAGCATAGATATCTATCATTCCCAGATTGTTGCATAATTCCGAAAATTGAGACTTTCCCAATGCTTTGGTAAATACATCTCTAAATTGATCTTTAGATGTCACATAAGTTGTAACCATCGTTTTCTTCATCCCCAAGTCTCTCACAAAGTGCTTTCGTGAAACACCGGCTTACTAGCAATGCACATAAGAACCTGATTATTAACCATCTTTTTCTTCATCACCAAGTCTCTCACAAAGTGCTTTCATGAAACACCGGCTTACTAGCTATGCACATAACAACCTGATTATCACAAATCATTCTCTAAGACTTGTCACTGGAAAAGCCCATCTCTTTTAAAAGAGATTTTACCCACATCATTTGCAGTTGTATGAGCCGTTGCTCTATACTCTGCCTCTGCACTTGATCTGGCCACGATATTTTGCTACTTACTTTTCCATAATACCAAATTACCACCCACAAATGTGCAATATCCAGATGTAGACCTCCTATCCATTTGGCATAGTTGTTAAAGGCGCGCTTAGGCTCCAAAAAAGCCCTAGGCTCGTTGAGGCTCAGCTAGAGCGCCTTAACCTAGTACTGGGCAGTGTAATGGGCCAGGTGCTTCATGATCTGAGCCCAAAACTTAAGCTATTAGGTGGGGTTAACACCAAACCCATATATACTCATTTCACTACCCATCCAGATCCGATGTAGGATAAGTCTTCCTTTATAACAGTCTCCCCGACCTTAACTCGCAATGCCCTCACTGACATCGGGCCACCCTGCCTACCCGGGGTGGCCACCTAGACGCTTCTAGACCGGGCACGTGGCATAGCATCGGATCAAGGATTAAGTTCTCTGATACCAACTCTAACGAGTTGGGTGCCTCGCGATCCGATCCAAAAACTTAAGTTATTAGGTGGGGCTAACACCCAACCATATATACCCATTTCACTTCCCATCCGGATTTGTGTGGGACAAGTCTCCCCTTGTAATACCAGGCTCACATAAAGCTTTTAGGCTCGCACTTTTTAGTTGGCTCCAGGCTCGAAAAAAAGGCGCGCCTTTCCCTTTTTATTCATTTATTCATATCATTTTCTTTTTTATTTAATGACTACTAAATTAAAATGTCTAATATCATAGCTTGATTCTGAATATATATAGTAATATATGTTTAAAATTTGCATGATTATAGTTTTATTGTTTCAGATTTTGAAATCACATTTAATTTTGTTAAGGCATATGCATATGAAAGGATATTTGAGCAAATATTAAAAATACAATTGTTAGAGAATTTTATGTCGTCCAATTGTACATGTATTGAGATCATATGCAAATAGAAAAGATATATATATATATATAGAAAAGATATATTTATATGCTGAAAAAAATCCTTATTTTAAAACTGTCAAGTTTTTGTTGCATACTTATAATTAATATGCATTATTATTACACAAGTGCCATACTTCAATCAGGATCGCGCTTTTTTTTGCGCCATGCACTTAGGCTCCATAAGACTTTTGGCGCCTTAGTGTGCCTTGAGCCTTTTAACAACTATTTTGGCTTCCTTTCCAATCAACATCTATGAACCCAACAATATCCATGTTTTTTTGAAGACTTGATGACAAGCCCTTTACTAGGAGTTCCTTTCAAATATCTTAAAATACGATATACTACATCCAAATGAGGTTGCCTGGGTTGTTGCATAAATTGACTTACCACCCTAGAGCAAAGGTTATGTCTCCTCTCGTCATAGTCAAGTATATTAATTTTCCGACAAGTCTTTGATATCTTACTGGATCATCAAGAAGTTTTCGCTAAATCTGGACTATACTTTATCCTTGAATCCATGGGAGTATCATTCAGTTTTGCTCCTAACATTCCCATCTCACTTAATAAATCACATACATCATTTGAGATATACAATTTCCTTTATGAGATGTTGCTAACTCTATTCCAAAAAAGTGTCCCAACCGGCCCAAGTCTTTCATATGAAAATGGTTGCTCAAAAATTGGTTTAGGTCATCAATACCATTTTTATCATTCCCTGTCACTACAATATTGTCTATATAAACTGCTAGGATGATGGTACCACTTTCACAATGTCTCACAAAAACAGAGTCATCTGATGTTTTTTTTTAATCCATATTTACTTACTGCAGCACTAAATTTGTCAAACCATGCCCTTAAAGACTGTTCTAACCCATATATAGCTCTCCTTAACCGACACAATGTGACTCTCCTTGAGCAACAAACCAGGTGGTTGCTCCATGTAGGAAGGCATTTTTAATATCTTGCTGGTAGAGAGGCCAATTGTGAATATTTGCAACTAATAAAAGAACCTGAATTGAAGTAGGGCGAGCTACGGGAGAAAAAGTTTCAAAATAATCTACCCCAAATGTATGAGTATATCTTTAGGTACCAAGCGAGCCTTTAACCTTTCAATTAGATAATATTTGATGGCATACACCCAGCGACAACTAATTGCTTGCAACAACTAATTGCTTGCTTTCCGGGAGGAAAAGGAGTTAAGTCTCACGTATCATTTTGCTAAAGAGCTGTCATTTCCTCAACCGTTGCATGTTTCCAACCAGAAGAGGACAATGCTATTGCTGAAGATAGGATTGAGGATTTGAAATTGAAGACAAAGCACAGACAAATGACTGGAAATAGTCATCAACAAAAGTAACAAAATATAAAAACCTAGTACACTTTTATGATGGGCAGGGCCCCAAATGTCGATATGCACTAACTCAAAAGGAGAAGACTGCCGATTATTAACTCTAGGAGGAAAGGCATCTCTATTATGCTTGCCTAATTGACGAGCCTTACATTTTAAACTAGACACAAACTGAAGAAAAGGTAATGCAGTCTTCAAAAACTTCAATGATAATGCCACTGATAGGCAGATGCACTCGAGTGTTTTGTGTAGGATGATCAAGTCAAGTCAATGAGCAAGTTTTGCCTGTTTGCTGTAGGAAAGCTAGTCTATGTGTGTGTGTACACTAACACGCACCCAAAATAAAGGCAACTTAAACTATTTAAGTACTTGATCCTGGGTTTGCATCGTCCCAATGTATTAAGACATCCATCCTCAAAAGAAGAAAGAAATTTTAAAAAACAAGACAACAGAATTTTAATATTTGCATGCTTGGGACCACAGAAATTTAAGCATGAGTTTTATGTGATCATCATTTACTTGTTCTGATGTCCCAGTGCAATACCGTGGTGAACAAACAGGGCAGCAGTTCATCTTCAGAGTCCTCACCAAGTAGGGAAGTTTCTCCATTAGATGGCATAATTGAAGACATGCAGTCAAGAATCAAGAGGCTCGAGCGGTGGCATACAATTAATACAGTACTTACCACACTCATTTCAATTATATTGTTTTGCTTTGATTGCTTACTTATCTTTGGGACCATTACATTATTTTTCTAAATGTCATCTTAATAAAGTAATCCATCTTGTGACGGTTTCTTTGCAGGTACTATGGACATTTCTGATGTCTGCCCTTGTTGGTTATTCACTCTATCAGAGGAAGAACCAATGATTTGGTCAACTTAACTGAAATTCTTTCATCAGATTAAAATATTCTCGTCTCTGCTGCACTTTTACCTAGAGTAACTCTTAAAATTCTGAGCCCAACAAAAAACTTTCTAGTTCCTATTACACCTTTTTTGTTTTTTGTTTTTTGTTTTTTGTTTTTTTTGTGTTTTTTTGTTTTCGGATCATCAGATTAATAGGGATGATAATATGTCCCTGTAGGCAATTGATGTATATAATAGTGATCTTGATTTTTAAAAAAGGCCCATTGTTCACTAGCTCACTCATGGTCATGCTGAGTGGTCATTGATGGAGGACAGCATGACATTATACAAAATTGTTTTCTACTTATGATAATTGATCTTAATAGAAGCTTTTATCAATGCAAGTTCCAAAGCTAGCCTAGATTGACCATTCTTGAGAAGGGTTATGCTCACTGCATTTTCTTACCTACGAACATGATTTGGTGTTGGTTTACAATGAGCAAATAGATGTGGCTCTTACCCGCCTGAGAGTAAAAAAGCCATGTTCAAACTGGTGGTGGTGTATATAACATTTTCCTTTCAGTTATCATTAAGGCCCAGTTTGGCTGGAGGGTAATGGAAGGAAAAGAAAAGAAAGGCAATGAAGGGAAATGAAATATTATGTTTGGTACAAGATTACTAAAGAAAAGGGTTAAATGGTCACCCCCCGAGGTTTGGATTTATTCAGATTAAACCTGAGCAAAAATTGCTCTAACACCCCCTTCAAGTTTAGTTTAATTTTCCTTTACATCCTCTTATAAAATAAAATACCTAAATTACCCTCCATACCCACTTTCTCTCTCTACCCACTTCCATCCTCCCATGGCCATCCTGAACCACCGCCGTTGCATTATGCATCATTCCATCCATGGCTGACAGGCACAGCACAAAACCTTCTCCTTTCCAGGCGGCCAAAACTTCTAATTGTGCAAGGCTTCTTCAATAAAATTGCTTTTAATTGCTTACAGATCCTCTCAACATGGGATTCGTCAGATTCAACCATTGGTTGAAATGATCAGTATGGGAAGTTGGTTTGTATTCTTCTTGTTGTTGCTGTTGCCTATAAGTCGTAAAACTCCTTTGATTTTACTCTCTTTGCAAGATATCATAATCTAGTAAACAATTTGCTTCTTTGTAATCTATATATACTAAGCTAGCCATCCTCCATCAAGCCGATTCATCTGTTTGTTTTAATGTAAAATATTTTTTTTAGAAAATATTTTTCTTTTCTAGGTAAAATATTTTTTTATTTTTTATCTTGTCGATTTTTGGCAAAGGTCTACGTCGAGGTTAAGGTTGAGTCCATCAAGCGAGGCATGCAAAATAACTTGCCGAAAATTGATGAATAAGTTATTTTTGTTAAATTTAATATTTTTTTCTTTATAAATATTTTACGACGATCAAATACCAAAAAAAAAAAAATATTTTTTAAAAAATATTTTACGTCCAAACAAATGAAGTCTTTATAGTGATCAAAGTATTTGTCCTCTTGTCATGGTATTTGTTTTACAGAGCCTTTGACAGCCATCGTGTGTGTGTGTGTGTGTGTGTGTGTGTGGCTTTGACAACCATCATATTTGAATTTTTTTAAACCAGGCGGCAAACAATATTCATTACTTGAAATCATTATATACATGAAATGTGGATGACTATGCCTTTTTCCAATGTGTGGTCGGAAGACAAAGAAACACTGATCTTATCGGGGAGTTATATTATAGAGTAACAGGAAAGTTGTTCCATTATATATTATTAGTGGAAAGAATCCAAGAAGGGCCAACTTTTATGGAGACCAACCCCGGTGATGGAGGCGAGGTGGCGGTGGCGGTGGCGGAGGTTCAGGTGGCGCAGGATAGCCATGGAAGGATAGAGATGGCCCAGATGGGTAGATAAAAAGTAGGGATGGAGGGTAATTTAGGTATTTTATTTTATAAGGGGTGTCAGGATAAATTAAATCAAACCTTAAGAAGGTGTAAAAGTAATTTTTGCTCAGGTTTAATCTAAGATTAATAAACCCAAACCTCGGCGGAGAACAAATAGATTTTATAGAATACAAATTAGACATGATGTGTTAATTTTATTATCTTTCCAAAAATGGAAGGAATCCATAATCATTGACCACATATCATCAAATGAAAGAAGTTTCAAAACTTGCAATTGTCCAATGAAATACTTCGAATGTGGTTTTGTAGAGTACGGAGAGGAGAATGAAAACTCTCTTGTGGCTTTCTCCAAGTCCAAGCCCATGCCTACCCAAAAATCCAAAATGCTTCAATCTTCACTTTTCTTCCATTGGAGTATGTACATATATGGATAAAGAAAGAAAATGGTGAGAAGAAATGAATGTGTGGCCCAAAAACTTTCTTCCATCCCCTACTATTTATAGTCCATCAGGTAACTTTCATCTATTTATGTCACTTAACTCCAAAACTCCATATAATTACTTCCTTCTCCTAAGGCACTTCTATGTAATTACACTTTAAGACTAGTTTGGTGTGGTTGAATGAAATAAAGTGGGAATGGAATGAGTCAAAGAATGGAATGGGAATGGAATGACTATTCTCATTCCCATGTTTGGTTGTACAGAAAAATATCATATTTTTGTAAAACATATATATATGTGTGTGTGTGTGTGTGTGTGTGTGTGTGTGTGTGTGTGTGATAAGGATAAAAATAATAAGCAACTCAAAGTCAAAAGAGAAATAAGATAAGGGTAAGGGATTTATCTTACTCAAAATTTTTATAGAATCATAAAAAATATCTAGTTACCATATGTAACCAGAGTTACCATTCCTGTAAGAAGGAAACGATATCATCTTGGATCAGGGAGAATCTCGTTTCAACTACTATTACCATTAATGCTTCTATAAAAGAGATGATGAGGCAACCTAAAAAAGTATGCCATAAATTTTATATATAATCCTTATCGGATATTAGATCGTCAAGTACTAACTTGACCGTTGGAGTGCACCCGGCCGGCACCACGCCGGTCATCACTTCTCTTGTTTTACAGGAATCGCCACCAACTTCGGAGCGTGTAGATTTTTGGCATCAACAGTTGGCGCCATCTGTGGGAACGTATATTAGTCCCAACAAATCATGGTTCGTATAAGGGAAATTTACGACAAAACTTAAAAGTAATTCAGTCCCTTTACAATCTGGCTTTCTCTAAAAGAAAGAGAACAGTTCATGGATTGCGTAGCCAAAAGCAAAGGTAAAGTTGCTCAATCCGGTAAAATTGCTGGAAAGCCCCACCCGACCGCTTCATCATCGCTGTTAACCGGGTAAGTTTCATGCATTACGCGTATATCAAAATATATGTCTACACTTCCGCACATGATTTAAAGAGAAACAATTTTTTTATGTGTTTCCAATTGTCTGCAAAATATTGTTCACCTACATAATGATGTAGTTCACCAGGGGACCCTTCGATAAAATACTACGCTTTACGGGTACTGTTCCCAGGGAAAAAAATAAAATAAAATAAAATTGTGAGTATTGTTCACATGAATAGTACCCGCGGGTACTGTTCACAGGGTTTTAAAATATATATATATATATATATATATATATATATATATATATATATATTGTGAGTACTATTCACATGTCACACGAATAGTACCCGTGGGTACTATTCATAAGGTTTTAAAAATATATATATATATATATTTTGTGAGTACTATTCACATAGTACCCGCGGGTACTACTCACAGGGTTTAAAAATAAATAAATAAATAAATAAATAAATTCTTATTTTAGAGAATAATTGCTAGCTCCATGGATGATTTTGGTCCTATGATGCTCAATGATAAGTTTTTGCCTTAATTGTACTAATTCTGATATATATATATATATATATATATATATATATATATATATATATATATGTTATTCGTTCAAACTGTACACATTAGTGCTCCTTGCGCATGAGAGGCAAGCTTGGGAATGGGGGCAGAAAATTAACCTCTCTTATTAAAGATACGAGCTCACGAAACTCTGGAAAATTAGTCTTCCTTATCAAATAGATGAGCTCACGCAACTATCGAAAATTAGTCTCTCTTATTAAAAAGATGAGATAACGAAACTCACGAGGATGAACCTCCTATATTAAAAGGATAGGTTCATGAAGCTTGGAGAACTTACTCCCTTTTTAAAGGACGAGTTGAATGAAGCTTCTAATTGCCATCCCCGTATTATAAGGGATTGATATAAAAGTGCCCCGTACTATAAGGACCCAAGCTAAATGAAGCTCGTAATTGTTGTCCTCCGTATTAAAAGGGGTCGAAATCAACTTGTAAAATATACCTTCCTTTTTAAAGGGCGAGCTGAGTGAAGCTCGTAAAATATATTTTCCTTTTTAAAGGGCAAGTTGAATGAAGCTCGTAATTGCCATTCCCCATATTCTAAGGGATTGATATAAAAGTGCCTCGTACTATAAGGGCCCGAGCTGAAAGAAGCTCGTGATTGTTGTCCTCCGTATTAAAAGGGGTCGAAATCAAAAATCAACTTGTAAAATATACTTCCTTTTTTAAAGGGCGAGCTGAGTGAAACTCGTAAAATATATTTTCCTTTTTAAGGGGCGAGCTGAGTAAAGCTCGTAAATATACTTCCCTTTTTTAAAAAAGGTAAGCTCATTAAGCATAAGAAAGCCTACTCCCTCAGCTCATAAAGTTCGGGCAAATCTTAAGAGATCAACCAAAAAAAAAAAAAAAAAAGGTCGCCCAACAAGGTTTAACCTAAAAAGAGATTGATTTCTGCTAAAGAGACATCACTCAAAAAACACTTTGACATTCTCGATGCTTGACAAGCAAGCACGAGAATGGGGGGCAACTGATAAGGATAAAAATAATAAGCAACTCAAAGTCAAAAAAATAAGATAAGGGTAAAGGATTTATCTTACCCAAAATCTCTATGGAATCATAAAAAATATCTGGTTACCATATATAACCAAAGTTAGCATTCTTGTAAGAAGGAAACGATATCATCTTGGATCAGGGAGAATCTCGTTTCAACAACTACAACCATTAATGCTTCTATAAAAGAGATGATGGGTCAACCTAAAAAGGTACACCATAAATTTTATATGTAATCCTTATCGGATATTAGATTGTCAAGTACTTACTTGACCGTTAGAGTACACCCAGCCGGCACCACGCCGGTTATCACTTCTCTTGTTTTGCAAGAATCACCACCGACTCGGGAGCGTGTAGATTTTTGGCATCAACAATATGTATGTATATGTATATGTATGTGTGTGTAGCCCCACGTTTCATTAAATGTTTTTTTTTTTTTATTCATTTATTTATTTAAATTTTTTTAAAGTGGGAA